GAAGATACGGGAGGCTCAAGCACGTGAGAGAGTCAGAGAACAAGAAGAAGAGGAACAACAACTTGAGAGAGCTCGTGTCAAGGCAGAGAAGGCTCAACAGAAGGTCCTTAAGCTTCAACAACAAGAAGAAAGACAAAGGTTAAGAGTTGAGAAGAGAGAGGAGAGAGAGAGGATTAAGGCTGAGCAGAAGGCTGCCCGGGAGCGTAAGAAACAAGAGAAACAGAACACCCAGAAGTCTATACAAACTTCCCAAAAGGGAAAGAGGAAGGCCTCAAATCCTCCTGCAAAGAAACAGAAGAAACAGAGACGTACTGGTAGTTCTGTGGAGGGTGCAGAAATGGGGGAGAGCGCACGGGCCATATCACCACTACCCACTACCACTACCCGAAGTGGCCGCAACATCAAGCTCCCAAGGAAATTCAAATAGTACATTTTTTTCGCAGGCGTTTGTATAGTATTTCAATGAATTATTAGAACTATTGAGGCGTTGTGGATGGCTCAGTAATTCAGTGTTGTTGAGGGCAAGATATTGATGGGGTGGCCCAAGCCGTGAACCGGCTCACACCGTGACCCACCAGGTTATCTCCTGCGATTCCTTGCATCTCGTTTACTCCCAGTGGGAGAAAAGCGTGCCGAGCTGGATACTGCAGCCGGCACAAACGTGGGATTTTAGTTGCGCATCACAGCAAAGTTCACTGACCAAAATCTCGAATAATATATTTCTTAATCGCATAGCGTTTTGAACTTTTACTCTTCCCAAGCGAGAAATTGTTGTTCTGGTGTTGCCGCCACGCCCCGGAAATGTTAACCATTGTTGCCGTACCAGCCAATCGAGCTCTCGAGTCTCACATACGTCCCACGACCAAACACTACCCCTGCTACCCCGCTGCAGAAGTTATGTCAATGCACACCAAATAGCGGCTTTGCCCTCCCGGTCCCTAGCTCAAAAGCTAAGTATATGTACTTTTCAAACCAAAAAGTAGGTATCAAATCAGAACGGGCACTTGGTCTAGGGGTGTAAGTAAACATTATCTGAGGCATGCTATGCTACCATTCTAACTTTAATTCAGATGATTTTCGCTTCGCATCAATTCAGACGATACGTACATGTGAAAGGTCGTGGGTTCAATTCCCACAGTGTCCATTTCTTTTTGGGATTTTTTCTTCCCCTTCATCTAAGCCCCAAGCGCGGAGGCCACTTATCCAATGCACATGAGGCGCCTTTTTGGGTCTGTTGCATACTTGCTTTAAGTTTGGTCTTGTTCTATTGTGATGATTGAGATATTAATTTTTTGGGGAGGGGGTTTGGGTGTGATGGATCGGTGGTGAGCGTATGACGGAGTCTGCAAGCAACACAAAGAGGAAACACTACTTGAACATTTAAGAAAACCAATTGTTTCGTTAGTTATCCACTTATTATATCTAGTTACCTATCTGTACCTGTAAACAATGAACCAAGGGCTGTGGATAAGTTTCACTTCTTCTTTTGCTTCGGGTGCCCGCATGCCAAAACTATCTCCTGCGACTGGCTGAATTGAATGTTTGCAGTTACGGATCTTCATGGGCCTAGTATTTCTGTCACTTTACTTGGAGTACTATCCTAACATGCTGGGCTGGGTGCGAAGCACTACTGTGCGATGGAGAGTACCTATGGTAGATAGTATGAACCCGCGACCTTCCACATGTACGTATCGTCTGAATTGATGCGACTATGCTGCATTGCCACAAATCTAAGTAGGTGTCGAGCTATCTCTCAACATCAGGGTATATCCAAACGCGATGCTTTTATCCTATACGCACTCCTCTATTCGGTGAGTCGGGTAAATTGTTAACCTCTAGGCATTTCTTCATGGACGTGAGAACCCAGCACTATTCTCATCTCCATGTTACTGCTTTTCTAGAATGTGAAGATGGCAGGAAATGAGAGGGCGGACGCCAACACCGCATAGAGGCCAAGAGAGGGCTGCGCGTTCTAAGCGATATATGGTATGATGAGACGAAACGATGGAAGCTGAAGAGATGGGCATAGAAACAGCATAATCAATATGCATTCGACCGTGGTTTCGAAGGTTGTTTACGTGAGAAAGGTTCAGTCGCACCAGGGAAGAACGGAGTCGCGGAAACACGTTCTGTAACGTCCCAAAATGCGGAGGGGGTCGCCAGGAACTGCTTCCAGAACGAGCGCAGAAGTTATGCAACAACCAACTCTATCCCAACATTTCTCACCAGCGGTGAGAAAGAATAATAAACCTGCCCCTTCTTCGTACCCTCGTATCTGCTATCAGATCGCCTCTGCCCGATCGTTTCCGCACGCCGCCAAGCTCTCCTAATGCGTGAGCGGGCATGCCGCACAATCTGCAGGGACTTCTACACCACCCTTTGCCCACCACACCGGTTCGGGCAGCTCTCAACCACGGGCGCAGCAAATGGCGCTTCACATCAGTGCAGTTGCAGCGCGATTTTGTGTTCTAGATCGGCATGGCGTCATTTTACAACCTGGCTAGTTCATTTGCATCTGCCATCGGAGGATGCGGATATGGTGGAGTAACGATGGTGACCTGGTCGACTTTAACTATGGATCCAGTGGCATTCCGAGACCGAGGAACGCGCACAGCTTGGTTGTATTAGTGAGGTTGAAGTTAAAGTGCTGCACTTCGCCGCTACTCGCACCTTTTTTGTATCCCCCGAGCTACTAAATAAGTTTGTTCACAAAGGGTTGCTGGCCGTTCCGCACCAATTCTTCCGACTACATATTGCACACCCCTCCCTCACCGGCCATCTACACTTATCTCCGTCAGATCTAGACTTCCTACGCTCCCAGCGCCTCGACTGATATACAGAAACCATGGCATCCACACCCACCGAAGACCCCTCGACTACGTCGACGTTCCCCTCTCGGCAGAAACCGATCCCCTACTCCTGCATCAACGGCGTACGCACCCCGCTGTCCTCCATCCTCCCTCCCCTCATCTTCGGAACCGCAACCTTCAATCTGCAATACAACTACGATCCCTTCTCCCTCGACACGACTGGACTCGTCACCTCTGCCCTCACACATGGTATCCGCGCTTTCGACACTTCACCGTACTATGGCCCCTCCGAACAACTCCTCGGCAATGCGCTCGCGACGCCATTTGTCCGCGAAACATTCCCCCGCGATTCATACATGATCCTGACAAAATGCGGGCGGATATCGGGCGACGAATTCGACTACTCGGCGCAGTGGGTACGGCAAAGTGTGGACGATAGCATGAAGCGCCTGCACACGGACTACCTCGACCTAGTATACTGCCACGACGTCGAATTCGTTTCGCCCGCCGAAGTCCTCGAGGCAATCTGCGAGCTACGACGACTGCGCTCTGAAGGCAAGGTTAGGTATATCGGTATCTGCGGCTATCCCATCGATGTCCTAGGCGACATGGCAGAAATGATCCTCCGCGAGACGGGCGAGCCAGTCGACTGCGTGCAATCCTACGCCAATTACAATCTCCAGAATCAGAGCCTCGCCAGTAGCCGCGGCATCCAGCGCCTGAAGAATGCAGGCGTGCAAGTCGTGCCCAATGCATCTCTCCTCGGCATGGGTCTTCTCCGCCGCCAAGGTGTGCCCTTCGGCGCTCTGGGAGACTTCCACCCGTCGTCGCGCGAGCTGCGCTCCGCCGTCCGCGATGCCTCTGACTTCTGCGACCGTCACGGCGAAAAGATCGAAGTCATAGCCCTTCGCTGGGCGCTAGAGAGCTGGATCTCAGCCGGCGCGGCCTGCGGCTCGCACGGTGATCCTGCTTCAGGACTCCCCTGGACCCGCGAGTCCAACGACGATGTCGGCGGCTCAAAGCTCGGCGTCAGCGTCATCGGTGTATCCAACGGCTCGGAGCTCGAGAAGACGATGCTGGTATGGCGCTCTATTCTCGACGGGCTCGAGGGCGGCGAGGAGACGGCAAAGCAGGCTGGGCGCTGGTACCGGGCCTGGGAATGGAGTCATAACCGCAGGAAGGCAGTTCAGATGCTTGCCGAAGGCGTTCAAGAGATTCTGGGGCCGTGGTTCGGATATACGTGGGCGAGTCCCGATCCCGGGTTTGTGAATAAGAGGGTTAAAGATGCGAAGGTTGTGGTGAGGGATGAGGATGTCGAGTACCTTACTCCGGCGGCTAGTCCTGAGGCTAGTGTTGTGGATAAGGATGAGTGGGTTGAGCGGTCGGGGAAGACGGCTTTGCCGTTGAGGTAGATGGGATGGTGGGAGATGTGAAATTACCCTAGGGCGGCGCGATGGTAGAAGATGTATATAGACGGGTGGAAACGCTGTATCCGTACCTGAATAGGTGCGTTGATTGAGACGAGGTAAATGGTTCTGGTTTCATGTTCATGTCTTTTTTCTCTTTCTCTCAAGGGACGTGGGAGTCTATCTGGTAGCGTTTTGAGATGCATTTAAGTTTCTCATAATTCCTTCGAGGAAGAAAAGAAATCCAATCATAGTTTAGCGCCCTACTTTGCATCGAATGATAATCATACCATGGGGACATGCTCTATAGATCCCACTTAGCTTAGGTAACATATACATAAAGCTTCCACATAACATTCCAAAACGGACCAAGGCAGCATGTCACAAAGTAGAATATGATCCCCACAATCGACCCATCCCAGTATATACAAGCCAAAAACGTTACAAATACACACCCCCTACAATTTCGCAAACACTGTAGGCACCTCCCCGCCCATCTCCACAAGCGTACTCTTATTCCTAACCCAGGCCTCCAACCCCTTCCTCCCATTCTCCACGCCCACACCACTCATCTTCCAACCCCCCACGCTCATCTCCGCCGGCGACTCGCCCCACGTATTCACCCACGTAATACCCGCCTCCAACTTCCCAACAACCTGATGCGCAAGGTTGAGATCCTTGGTGAAGACACCGGCCGCAAGACCGAGCGGGGTGTTGTTCGCGCGCGACACAACTTCGTCTACGGTGTCGTAGGTGAGCAGCGTGAGCACGGGGCCGAAGATTTCTTCTTGGACTATCTTCATGGTGTCTGTGCAGTTTGTGAAGATGGTGGGTTGGACCCAGTAGCCGTTGGCGTAGTCTTTGTTAGGATGTGATGTGAGCCAGGAGGGTTTCTCGGTGCCGCCGCAGAGGAGCTTTGCCTTGTCGACTTCGATGCCGTGTTTGATGTATGAAAGCACTTTCTCGTAGTGCGGTTTACTGACCAAGGGACCGAAATTCGTGTTCGCGTCGAATAGATCCCCGGGGCGAATGTGTTGAACTTTTTCTAATAATTTCTTCTCGAACTCGGCCTTTATGGAAGATGAGATGAAGACTCGCGTCCCGTTCGTGCAGACCTGCCCCGTGGAGAAAAAGTTCGCCATCATGGCTCCGTCGACGGCTTGGTCGATATCCGCGTCGGGGAGGATAATGCAGGCTGATTTCCCGCCGAGTTCCATGGTAACATACTTCATGCCGCCTGCAGCACTGCCTGCGACTTTCTTCCCTGTTGCCACTTGGCCTGTGAAGCTGACCTTTGCGATCCCGGGGTGTTGCGTCAGGTATGCGCCGACGTCACCTCCACCCTGTACGACGTTGAAGACTCCCGGCGGCACACCAGCTTCTGTGTATATTTCCGCGAGGAGGGCAGAATGCAGAGGGGTGAATTCCGAGGGCTTGTATACCATGGTGTTGCCGGCCGCGAGACAGGGTGCGGATTTCCACAAGGCGATCTGGATGGGGTAGTTCCATGCGCCGATTCCCGCGCATACGCCCAGCGCGTTCTTGGTCATGTAGACCCACGCATTGGGCCGTAATTGTACAGTCTCGCCGTTTAGACCGCCGCCTCCGACCATGTTGGCAAAGTACTCGAGCACATCGGCGCCGGTTACTATGTCGACTGTGGATGTCTCTGAGAAGGCTTTGCCGGTGTCTTGGGTCTCGATCTTTGCGAGTTCATCGTTTCGGGAGCGCAGGATGGTGGCTGCTTTTTGGAGGATTCGCGCGCGTTCGATGGGTGGGGTGGAGGACCATGCTGGAAAGGCTTTGTGTGCGGAGGCAATAGCGGAGTCGATGGCGGAGGTGGTTGTGGTGTGGATGTTGGCGAGGGGTCGGGCGGTTGCGGGGTTGATGGTTTGGAAGGAGGTGGTTGAGGTCGCGGATTGGAGTTT